TTGTATTGTTGTTGTTATTGTTAATGGTTATATTCCTTATTAGAGTTCAGCGTCTGACAACCCTGTGTTTCTGATGCGTAATCATTTTGGTGCTCGTTGGGTACCTGATGTAGTCTTTTTTCAGGATTAGCAATAAAGAGCGTGTTCTCCCCGGAAAGTGTCCGTCTGTCTCTCTCTGCTCCCGCGGTGCCTCGGTCCGCTCGTCGCCACAGTACTAATTCTAACTCTTCTAAATTCCTATATTACGTTTTCTGTTTTATTTCACTATTATTATTACACACATCCCAAAACATTGTCATTGTTAACTCTGACTGTGTGTAAGCTTACGTGTAGGCAACCCATGCCCCCCCCCCCCTTTCTCTCTCTCTCTCTCTCTCTCTCTCTCTCTCACACACACACACACACTCCAGCCCTTTGCTCTCCCTACACGAAACGTCCCTCTTCATTAACATTTCGACTACTTTTTACCGGGCTGGACAGTAGCTAATCTGACCTCTTCCTCAATCTTTCTATGGGCCACGTCTCTCTCCTCATCCTCATCATCCTCCTCCGATGTATCTCCCTGAATCGCTAATTCTGCCTCCTCCTCCAGCCCTGGACCAGCTGCTTCAGCAGTAAAACTTGTGGTGGCAAACATATCGGTAAGTTTTGCGCATTTTACTGCGTCCACTTGAAGGCTCTTTTGCCTTTTTTCTCTGAGCTTTTCTGCGCCCCCCTTGCGCTTTTTTGGTTTGTCCATAGCCACTCCTCTCCAACTCCGGTCAGCTCAAATGGCAAAATTTGATAACCTTGGTAAAGGGGAGGGCTGAGAGATTTCATTGGATTAATCCAATGTCCTTCAAGAAAATCAACCAATGGGACTTCGTGGTCGATAAAAATAACTTATACTTTTTTGGGTCAATTACGACACCCCCAGGCCGGCCCAAAAATGTGTGTCGGCCCACCGGGCACTGCCCGGTACACCAGATGGCCAGTCCAGCCTTGCCCCTATCTATTCAGTGCCAAGTACTTGTACTCCCCTTGGGATTCAGTGCTAGGTACTTGTACTCCCCTTGGTATTCAGTACCAGGTGCCGGTGGTTCATTTGGTATTCAGTGCCAGGGACTTGTACTCCCCTATCTATTCAGTGCTAGGTACTTGTACTCCCCTTGGTATTAAGTACTAGGTGCCGGTACTCCCCTTGGTATTCAGTGCCAGGTACTTGTATTCCCTTTGGGATTCAGTACTAGGTGCCGGTACTCCCCTTGGTATTCAGTGCCAGGTACTTGTACTCCCCTTAGTATTCAGTACCAGGTGCCGGTACTCCCCTTGGTATTTAGTGCCAGGTACTTGTGTTTTTCTACTTCCAGTTTCAATGATATCTTCACATTAAACAAGTCCTGTTGTCCACTAAAGAGGACATGGTGTGAAATTAAAAATAAAAATAAATTTGAAAAAATCAAAATTGTAAGATGTCTTATTTCCTCCAAAGACATAGAAAATCACAAGTAACCTAAAATTGAAGGAAACTTTTTTTCCTTGGGTGTCAGGAGGTTATAACAGTAATGGGGCCAAAAAGTTTCAGTCTATTAGGTGACTTGTTACAACCCACAAAGCCAGAAGAAAAGCCCTATGTGGAAATAGTTGAGGTCTTGTCACAGCATTATTCACCGAAACCATTGTTAATTGCAGAACGATTCCGATTCCATACACGTGACCAAGAGGAAGGGGAATCAGTTATGTTCGTTGCCGCGCTAAGGAAACTGGCGGAACATTGCAAATTCGGACCGGTTTTAGATGATACGTTGAGAGACAGATTAGTATGTGGTCTTAGAGATGAAGCAGCACAGAGGAAACTACTGACTGTGAGTGAGCTGACATTGAAGAAGGCCATCAGCTTCAGTGTCTCTATGGAAGTGGCATCAAAAGAGGCTCAACAACTGCATGCAGTTAGCGAGGTGCAGACAGTGAGCACAGAGAGACAAAATAGGTCGGGCCCATGCTATCACTGTGGCAAAATGGAACATCTGGCCACGACGTGCAGGTGTAAGGATTTGAACTGTCACAGCTGTGGGAAATGGGGCCACGTCAAGCGGTTTGTTAAAGCAAAAAAAATGCTGGAAAAGTGACAAAGAACGAAAATACTACAGAGGATGTATGCAATGTCTAATACTGTGAACAAACAAGACCCCAGCAAAGAAAAGAAGACCAGTTCACAGAATGAGACAACAAGAGGAACTGTCTAGCGAGTCCACTGATGAAGAATCAGATGTAAGGGTGCATACTTTGAAGATTAATAAAATTGATACAAATGATGAGGATTATTGGGCAAGACCCCTGTTCAGGGCCGTGCAGAGACGTTTAAAGGGGCGGGTGCTGAAGCACCCCCCCCCCCCCCCCCCCCTCTGCACGTGCCTGCCCCTGTTAGAAGGGAACCCAGTAAACATGTAAATTGACACTGGATCTAAAGCATCCATTCTCTCAGGAAAAGTGCATAAGCGTCACCTGCGACATCTGCACCTGAGAACGTCAGATACCAGATTCAGCACCTACCTTTGAGAACCAGTACCCATGGCCGGCATGACTGATGTTACTGTTGAGATCAACAACCAAGTGAGAAAGCTTCCTATCTATGTCGCTGAAGGTAATTGCCCTGCTATCCTAGGTCGAGTTTGGCTAGAGAATTTGAACCTTAATTGGCAAACTGTGAGGATGCCGTCACCCATTGCCATTGAATTAGACACTGTTTTGACGAAGTTTTCAAAAATGAGCTAGGCAACATGAAAGACATCACAGTAAAATTAAGTATTAAACCAAATGCAAAGCCAAAGTTCTTGAAGGTCAGACTAGTACCATACACAATACATTCAAAAGTAGATGCTGAACTGGACTCTCTGGTTGCAAGTGGAACTATAACAGCAATAGTTTACGAAAAAGAACCAACGGTATAAAGTACAACTGCAGCATTGCCTTATAAGGCGACGTTAGGTCACACCACTGACCTCGATATACCCGTCCCCCCAATGTTAATATGAAACCTACACCCCAGGCTGCTACTCGCCTTGCCATTCAGTAGCAGCAGATATTGAGAGGTGCCAGTATTCTGAAGTGAAAAACAAAGGTGTGCTTGTACTGAGTACTGGAGAGAATCATTCCATATCAAATTATTATGTCATTTCATATCAAATTACCCAGTTTAAGAACAAATTCACTGGTCACTCTCTCAGATTACTCTGAAAAAACAACACCAAATTTTTATCAGATCATACTCAGATATATAAGAATATATAAGAATACATTGGAAAATGTGAAAATGATGGTTAACTGCCCACATTGTCAAATGAGGACGTGATAACATGCAATTTTAAGGAAATTTCCCAATCACATTTCAAAACATCATTCTGACACAGTAATAAATATGGTATTTCTGCACACATATAGCCTAAGAATTGATAAATGACAGAGAAAAAAATGCTTTATCTAGGATATTGTTTAAGGAAAGTTTGAGTGAGAAGCTCTCAAAAGGGTCGTCGTTTTGTTACCTTTTGAAATTTTCGGCCATTTTCAGAGCCTTGTAGGAGACAAAGTACTTGATAAAACTGATCTAATCACATGTCTGAATTATACAGAAAAAAGTTATCCCTGCTCCCAAAGTTTCAAAGCTGTACATGTTCTATTAAAGGAGCTATGGATGTCAGAAGTTGGAAAGGAGGGCTTCTTCGGCACAATGTATACAATCAATTGAAATTTCAAAGGACTACAGTTTCAAAACTATTAGAGATACAAGTCTAATATTTGGAATTTCTCCATACGGTTGGTATACTGTAGGAGCACCTGTGAAATTTTTCAGGGAAATCTGAGAGGGTGCTCTAGGACACTCTGGGTAATTTGTGACATGTGACTTACGACGACTCGCACAAACGACAGAAGTGTTTTCATTATGTAAATGTATGTAAAATCCATCCATCACCGTAACCGCTTAATCCCAACCGTGGTCGCGGGGGGGCTATCCAGGGAACAACGGGCACAGGCAGGAACCAACCCTGTTGCCCTTGGTTCAACACACCGCAGGGCGCACACTCACACAATTACGGGGTGAACTTAGAGTCGCCAATTAACCTATCATGCACACTTTTGGACTGTGGGAGGAAACCGAAGCCCCCAGCGGTAACCCACGTAAATATGGGGAGAGCGTGCGAACTCCACACAGAAAGGTCATACGCCCGACCCGGGGACTGAACACAGGACCTTCTTGCTGTGAGGCAGCAGCGCTAACCACTGCGTAAGTAAAATTAAATATTTACATTTCGCGTGGCCGTGCGCCCAGCAGCACTATGCTACCTAGTGCACGCTGTGCGCCGCACGATGGTTGCCAAGAGGTAGCACTGTACTTGCATGGCAGCGCGACTATCCCTGCCTCTCACGCATCTCCCAGTCTCATTCTCACATCTAAATATCAGTGCGGTTATCCAGTTCCGACATACATCCATTTCGACGTACAACCTGTCTGTAAGAACGGAACCCAGTCGTAAGTCTGGGACAGTCTGATATGTTTCCCCAGTAAAAGCCTCACATAAGCTGACATCTTGCATTTCCTCACTTTCACCACTAGATGGTGGAAGAGAATCGTAAGTACTGACGGCGGAAACGAGGCTTCAGAACTCGTTGGGTCGGAGTCCGTTTATTCACACTGGATTCAGCTGGGTCCTTTTTCAGAACTTTTCTCCCATTCTTTATTATATATTACTTAATTTTCCTTTTTATTTACCAGCATTATTATTATAATATATATATTTTTCTTTTTACAACAAAATGTCTATTTTGTGATCATATACACTGTGGCTGCTTTATTTGGTGCTCCTGGCAATTACCAGTAAATAGTTATCTCTAGAACAGCTTTGAGAATAGACCTTCCTGCTAGTTTTAACAAGACCGTTGATCCTCCTCTGGCCTCTCTGCCACTGACCATTTCATGTAAACTCTAAGCTGTATAAGTGCCGGTCATAGCCCATTGCCATTAGTACCAGGGCGTGACACGTACTCTTTCAGACTCTCACGCTCACGCAACAAATCTATATTATTCCACTATAAACCTAAAATTAGCTACATCAAAAGCGTTGGAGTAGTCTGCAAACCCTACTGACTATTTACAAAGCAATAAAACTTACATACATGTAAGTTTTTTAAATGCGTGTGCAGACTTGAATTGAAAACCTCACTCCAGCCAGCTGACCACTTCCTCGGTTTGACAGTGTACGCTGCCTGGACTTGGTACCTGAGGAGGGGCAGGGAATCGGGTTGAAAATCCGGCTGTTTCTGAGATGCTGGAACACCAACAATCGCACCACATTTACAATCATGTAGATTTGTAGATTAGCCATCTTACAGTGAAACTCCTGAGCCTGACTGTTTACTGTTGGTACTGAGAGCTGCAGCCACAGGAAGTGTCGTTTGCATTAACGAGGGGGGGGGGGGCTAACAAAGCAGCCACTTTATGGGGCCTAAAAGGTGGACATACTGCTGCCATGCAGCGTGACTCCTCTGTGTGTGTCTGCGCATGCATGTCTGCATGTGCCTGACTGCATGTGTGTGGGAGTATGTTATTTGCACATGTGTTCGTGAATGCATTCATTTTCAGAGTCATCTGCACGCCAAACCACTGGTTTCTGTGTGGTTGCAGTGACTCACAGTGACTTCAGTAAAGTGTCTATGCTGGTAAAAGGCATCAGTATCCAAAGAAGTTTAGTAGTTCGACAAATGATTTGGACACTAGTGCAATCACTTAATTTAATGTCACTTTCTACACCTGTGATTTACTGCAGTGTGTTTTCCAGTATTGTGAATAAAATATTGACAAAGGTCTGTATGTTACATACAAAAGGACAAACAGACGTGGATGTAAGAATTCCAGCTACTGTAAACGGTTTATGAAAAGCACAACTGTGTGTGTGTGTGTGTGCCTGTGTGATTTTTGGGTGCCATATGAAAGGCAAATAATATCAAACATATCAACCATCCATTAGCAAAACAAATCAAGTTCTCTCCAGGAAGTCAGGCTCTACATATTAATCAGCGGCAGTGACTTCACTGGCCTAACACAAGTGAAAATGTCATCACTGTCACCATGTTCCTTTATTCCGTCACCATGATTTGACACGTATGCTTATGTCCGCATAGCGTACAGCATATGTATTGCATAGTTATATTCATAAAAAAATTGACAGTGACAACAGAACAAAGGCTTTTTCCTTACACCAGAGACACTGAAAGCTTCTCATTCCAGTATCTTGTGTCACTGCATGTTTCATACTCCTGATACTCCTGATACTCCTGATACTCCTGACTGCCTGAGAGGATTAGGATCACCCTGCACAGTCATGGCCTTCCCCCTTGCATGGCCGCTCCACGCAAGATGCAAATGCAAAGTTGAACCATGTCTCACATTTCCGACGCGCTGGTGTTGCAAATGCAAAGTTGAACCATGTCTCACACTTCTGACGTGCTGGTCGGCCTCCGGTAACTGATGGACCTGGTGAGAATGTCTTTGGAAGAACGGATCTCCCTAGTCATAAAGTAATAGCAGACAGCATCCAGGCAGCAGGTGATGTTGGCAAGGCACATGGTCACCTGCATATACAGACTGATCTGGGTCTTTGCCGTGCAGTCAGTGATGGTACCCTGGTGTACCAGAAACTGCAGGAAGATTCCTAAATGGCTGGGTGTGAAGGGCACCAGGAAGGCGAACAGGCTGCTGTAGATGATTCGAGCGCAGGCCAGACTCTTAGCACTGCACTCCTGCGACTTCTTCAGGGTGTGGATGATCTGGACTGAGCATACCACCAGCACCAGCGCCGGCAGCAGAAAACCGAACACCTCCACGCAGGCGATGAGCACCGGGTTCCAGCCGTCATTGGAGAACTCGTGGAAGCAGCGGAATTGCTTCTCGTCGGTGTTGTGGAACTTGTATACGGGCACGGTGGCGGATAGGACCAGCACCCATATGAGCAGGCATACCATCCGGGCCATACGCGGGGAGCGCAGCGTCCGGGCCTGGATGGGCAGCTTAATGCTGATGTAGCGGTCGATGCTGATGCACATGATGGTGTAGATGCTGCCATACATGGTGACGAAGTGCAGGCTCTCCAGGAAGGAGCAGAAGAGCTTCTTGTTGAAAGCCCATTTATGGGTGGTGGCATGCATCTTAAAAGGCAGCGAGAAGAGCAGCAGCAGGTCCATCAAGGCTAGGTTGGTCATGTAGATAGTCGTCTCAGTCCACTTCTTCAGCAGGACATAGAATACCACCAAGGCTGTGGTGTTCAGCATGAGTCCGAATACAAAGATGGGAATGTAGATGACCAGTTGAAGAGATGTCATCAGTCCATCCACCTTAGCGAAGTCACAGTCAGTCTCATTGCCATCACTGTAAAAGGAATATGGTCAGTATTGGGTCTGCGTATAATTATTATGTATATTTTTTTAATCTAAAATATGTGCCTATATAAAGCTGTTGTTTCACGAATATCTTCCTAGTACAGAGCTCATGTTTACTTCACTTGTTGTCCATGTGTCTGAGGTCCAGTCCCATGATAACCAGTACAACTTCCTGTCAGAAGCCCGCTAACTAACCTAAGTCAGTTTCAGTATTTTAAAAAAAAGTTTAAGAAAACATTTACAACACATGCTAAGCCCGACCTCTTACAAACGCAGTCTTTTGACAAAAAAAATGTATGAATGTGAACTCCCGTCTCCGCACTCTACATGAAATCGATAAATTGGTTACCCAGATTTTTAAAGCTGGATTTAATAAACGTGATGTTAAGCAAGTCACTGTTGCATGTTTTTTTCCATACTAAAAAGAAATTACACTGGTTATTACTTTGCGTATTGCAAAATCGTGTACAATGACATCAAACGGAATGAAAGCCGTCTTCTTTCTGCAGAATGGAAACTTTGATTTGAATTGGGGGCGAGGCAAACAAATAGAACGGAATATTCCGAGAGCAATCTCACTTTTCATACTGGGCATCAGAAAATTTTAAGAACAATTTTCACGATTCACTAAGTACGGGTTTATTCCTGTCTCACCCCAGTACAATTCGGCTCTGCGTGACTGCTTCGGCCACCAAAGCACCTGCAAGTGTAGGAATTAGCGAAACGTATTCGTGCTTACTCATGTCAGTAAATGCTTTCCGTGTTGCATACCTGTCTAACTCACCTAAGCAGTGAGACGCAGGCTACAACAGGAATCGTCCCCTAAACAATGACAAATGGAGGCACCTGTACAGGTAAACGGTCTTACCTGACCAAGGGACTCAGCGCAGTGACTGCCATGGTGCTCGCCATATCTTCTCTGAGCTGGACTGGTCGCTTTTTAAATGTTGATGCGCTTCTTCTTTCTGTACAGAGCATTCCTATGCTATTACCGTAACCACTTCCCCTGACAGAGAAAAAGTGAGAGACCAACCTTACGTGTTTGACAACCGGTTGCCTCGGGCAAGAAGTGTTGTTTACATGTATAATTCTGGGTTATTTCAAATTATTTATGAATTGTACGCTTGGGACAGTTAAATCCCACAGATGTTCCTCGGTTGATTTGTGCGGTTATCTACATTTTGGTTCTATATGTCATGCATTTTAAGCATTGCAACGTTTGTTTATTTTAGCATTTTCGAACAAAGTGGTATCACGCTGTTGTCGTATATTATTTTAGAAAGTTAAGTAGCCTATATAGGCCTGCATGTGACGCTGAGGCATTGCTAAATAATTTTTGATAATGTTTAATTAACGAATGGCAATACAACCCCATGAACTCCCTTAAATGGGTGGAGACAGCAGCCCCCCCAAAAGCTCAACCCAATGTTATGCCATTGGTTCTGCCATATTCGTCGGGCAACAGCGCTTTTCGCTTTTTTATTCTTTAGCTTTTAACTCGGTATAGGAGTTGTCTATCTTCTTTTATGTTTTTAAGTGTTCGGGTTTTTACCATGTTGATTGTACAGCACTTAGTCTCAGCTGCGGTTGTGTGAAATGTTCTTTAGAGACACAGAGAACTGTGTTTCCCTCTGCTTGGTTTTTTTAACGTTGGTGTTGACACACTTTAAATGACTAGACGTCTTTTCACTGCTGAAGGCACGCGAAGTCGTTTTTTTTTTGTTGTAATCTACCTCCAAATAGACTGATGTCTACCAGTGGATTAAAGAATTTGGATTTTAAAAAAATAATAAATAAATGTTATTATAGCTTCACTGTACAGCCATTTTAAGATGTCAAGATTCCTTTGAAAATCGTGTAGGCTACAACATTTTACGCAGGCGTTTGAGGTAAAGCCGTGGTTTGCTAAGCGTCATTGCTTAATGCATTCAGTGATATTTGGTTAGTTGTTAAGTGTTAGTTACGTACTGATCTCATGCTTGTTCACGATTAATCAATCATGACAGTTCATGTATTCCATTCAGGCACTATATTAATTAACAGTTAACTAATTGGTTAAAATCAGACTAAGACCACTTGAGGGGTCAAAAATTACTTATTCACTCATTTACTACTTAAAAACAAATAATGAACTAATATAGGTTTCTCCATGAAATACATGAAACATGGGATCAGTACGTAACAAACACTTAGTTACTGGTTAATTAATGCATTAAGTAAGCGTGTACTACTACATTATTCATGTCCCCTCAAGAACAGTGTGACCAAAAATCAGTGACTGAAATATTACCTTACATAACACCGATTCGTTACCGATTCGTTTTGGGTCCTTACCATACAAGTCCAATGTCTAAAAAATGATGCTGCCAAATACCACACCCGCAACCTACCAGTTAGAATCATTATATAAATCAACTTCACCGCTAAAAGAATTGCTGCAAGCTACAATGAGATACAGTGTATACACTATAGTCAAGCTTTTTGGATTGTTGAATACATATTTAACATAGGGCTACATACAAACGTAACTTACAGAAATATTTTTGATGCACGCAAGATTATGATTTTATTTTTAATTGATCTCTATCAGAAAATGTACAATTACAAGAAAAACAAAATTACACAATGGTTTAAGGCCGGATCTCCGTTATATGTAAATTGTGTGGGTAATGACTCGGATCTGAACATGTCTATAATCTGCTAACACTTTAGGCTACTCTTAAACCTTTTAAAAATCTTGATTATTTTGATTATGCCGGAGCAAAGGCTTATATTTCGATGGAAACTTAACAGTAAGATACTGGCCGCGATTTAAATGAAGGACATGAGAAAATGCTTGTTTATGATGTGTATCTTATTTCGTTTTTTCCCTTCCTTTCCACCCACCGTCTTTATATGCAAGTGTGGCTAAACACGGAAAGTGGGGTTTGGATTTCAATATTAGACAATTTAAAATACTGGTACAACGCTATCACCAGCTCTGCATTCAATGGAAAGGAAACGATCTGTCCTTCGAATTGGGGAGATTCGGGGTGTTTTATGCTGGTGGGGAATTCAGAGCTCAGCGGTCTGAAACCTGGCTTGCGTAAGTCGCGAGGGTATATGACTGCGTGCGCTAGTCTCTGCTTTTCTCAGCTGATCATCAGTAGTGTGTGGGAGACCCGATTAAGTGGGAAGAGCATGCGTGCGCAGAGACGGGGGGACAAGAAACAGTTGGGTACTTGCTTTTCGTTGTGCAAGTACGATATACATTGTGCAATGGAGAGTGCCTTATTTTTGTGTCTGCGCAAATGCTAGTCTTTTGTTCCCGTCTAGACTCAAAGTGGATGTAAAGCTTCAGTAGTTTCTGAATGAGTAGTCGGTCATTATGAACGCTCACAATTACAACGAAATATGTGTACAGTGAAGGGTTTAAAAAGACGGGTAATGACACCCCAATGACAAAAAAGAGCCGCTCACTAAGATGACCTACATACATCTTTCTATTACACCTTCCTTATCGGAACATTTCCAAGTCCCCGCTCGTACGAAGAACTTGGAAAGTCTGCCACATCGCCTCTCCCCATGTGTTTGATAACTGACAAACTAAAGAACCATGCATATTGATTATTCCAGTGTTTTTACAAATTTCAATAATAATTAATTCTGCACGGCATTTTAAAATATTGTTTATACCTTAAGTGTAGCATTTGGGCTATAATGAAATGAAATCGAAAGAAGGAGTTTGTGGTTCTTCGCGTGTTCGTGTGATAGTATCACGCGTCTGATGTGCGCCTCTTCTGTACCACCTGATTTTCCTTTGCGTTAAATTGCCCGTTTCTCTTCCTCTTCTTAAAAGCTTTCTGAAACAGCCTTGTAGCCAGCTGTGTAGCAAGTATCAGGCTGTTTCGCTTGTAGTCTAGACAGTCGAAGTTGCTGGAGCCCAGAACTTTGAAAGTGTAGGATTGCAAGTGTCTTTTTTTGAGCATCAGAAAATGCGGTGTTTTGGGAAGACCCCACCGCTGACATGCAGAAATAAAGACGCAGTAGTGGTTTGCTGTAGGGTTTCTCTAGAACCCATGTTCAACTCCCAGCAAGGAAACTGATCCAGTATTCTAGGGCAAATGTGAAGTGAACAACATCTAGAAACAATTTATGTGTGTAAACTGTAAATACACTTATTTGTAACCAATCTCTCTGGATAAGAATAAACTATGCAGGCCTAATGAAATGCTGCGTTCTTGCAGTACTGGTTTTTGTCTGATTTTGTCTCCTTGATTTCTGATCAATAAGCCAGTTCACTTAATCACATACCTGAGACACGCTGCTTGGATGCTAGAACTTCTTCTGCTTTGCTGAGGCAGTTCATGACCCAATAAGCAGATTCCTGTTGTGGCCTTTGATGACCCAGTTAGCCACATTTCCAATGTTGTAAATGCAATTAAAAGTTTAAGCCCAAATTCACCAAATTAGGCCTTGTGGCAGGTGGTGTGGGCAAAGTAGGATTTTAATCACTCAGTGAACAAACATAGTAAGTATTGCAGACTTGAATTCATCGTATGCTTGTCTCCCTGTCTACCTACTCATGTCCTCTTCAGAGTCAGTGCTGAAGTATCTCAGTATTGAGAATTGTGAATCTGCCATCACCTTCTCGTTCCACAGTAATAAGTTCGCAATAAGCAAATTCTGCATATCAATTCAAAGAAAAAGTTAAAAATCAATGCGAGTAATTAATCGTAAAATAGCTAAATAAAAAACCTGACTGGATCATGCAGTAACAACAAACAGCCAGAGGGTGAAGGTGCAGGACATATATCCCCCAATATTTAATTTGGATTCATTCATGCTCCCCCAATAAATAGACCATAGCATTTAGATTATTACGTTGTGCCCCCCTCCCCCATATCAACTGGGGGAAGCAATAAAAAGGCCAATAGGATGTTGGGGTATATCTCCAGGTGTGTGGAGTTTAAGTCAAGGGAGGTAATGCTAAGATTATACAATTCCTTGGTGAGACCTCACCTAGAATATTGTGTGCAGGTTTGGTCACCGTATCTTAAAAAGGACATTGCGGCCTTAGAAAAGGTGCAGTGTAGGGCCACAAGAATGATTCCTGGTCTTAGAGGAATGTCATACGAGGAAAGGTTATTTGAGCTAAATCTGTTCAGCCTCAAGCAAAGGAGACTGAGGGGGGACATGATCCAGGTCTATAAGATTCTAACAGGTTTGGATGCTGTTCAACCGAATAGTTACTTCAGCATTAGTTCAAATACAAGAACTCGTGGCCATAGGTGGAAATTAGCGGGAGGACATTTCAAACTGGAATTAAGGAAGCACTTCTTTACACAGCGTGTAGTCAGAGTATGGAATAGTCTTCCTGATAACGTAGTGCAAGCTGAATCCTTGGGTTCTTTTAAATCAGAGCTAGATAAGATTTTAACAACTCTGAGCTATTAGTTAAGTTCTCCCCAAGCGAGCTCGATGGGCCGAATGGCCTCCTCTCGTTTGTATAGTTCTTATGTTCTTATGTTCCTATGTTCTAACTCTCTCCCATGATGTGGTGGACAGCCCTTGGTCTTACTCATCCCTAACTAGGTGCTGCAGTCAGTAGGACAGTGGCACCAAATACAATTCTGAGCTGAAACAGAAGTCTAGTCCTAACCCAGATGTCTTACACATAAAACCGCAGATTTCCTGCTTATCAGACAGCTGTGCAGGCCTCTTCCTGCCTGATGTAAAGGTAGTTCACAGTGTTTTCAAAAGACACATCATTATGGGCAATTCAATGCAAGATTCAGCTTTAAAACATAACTATCTCCCGGTATAATGCCGTGTTGGTTATAAACTCACATTTTGCAGAAATGGTTCACAATGCATGTTGGCTGATAAAAATCAACAGAGATCCTGCACTACTTTGCACAGCTGCTTTGCGTCTCGTGCTGAATATGTAGTGTGTCAGATGAAGCACGGCGTATTCTTGGAGTGTGACACGCCGGTAACAACTGGGGGATCAAAGCACCTCTAACTGGGTTTTTGGGGTTTAACGTTAAGAACGGCAGCATGTCTGGCATAGTGCTAAGATTGTCGTATGAGATAAAAAGGCGACTTCCTCTTAGGGAAGGGCAAGTCTGGCAAATGTGGTTATAGTCGATTGTCTCCGTTAACGAGCTGCCTAGTCGCCTGTTGTCTTGAGTGTGGAAGTGGCTCGTCATCGTCATCACATTTAGGGAATCACGAGTTTCATGCCAGGTTCAAAAAAACATGTGAAAAGGCTTCTGGTTTTGTCTGTGAACAGAGACACTTCATAATTTTCAGAAGGACTAGCACATTATATTCATAGATACATTGAAGTATATTCATAGATACATTGAAGTATTTCTTAATTATTGGGACAATAGTGCCCCCCCCCCCCCCCCCCAATTTATGCAAAGGATATCAGCACTCTAAAGGGCATCCTGGTCTAACAAAGGCCATAAACTTAAAATGACACATCTATGCTGTTAGTTGCCGGGTCACTTTCTGTTTTCTGTTGTTGAGCTTGGAGCCTACGCAATGAAATGTTTTAATTTCGGTTGAAATCTGATTTCCTTCTTACCATTTACTGATAGTTTTCACTGGAATGCTTGCCGTTACTGTATCTACCATAGTTTCCACACTGGAGTCGCATTTTTGGCTCTTGCAGATAAATGTTATCTACATGAGTGCGGTACCTGCTACCACAGCATTATCAGCACTTTTGTGCAGGCTATGTCTCTGTGGCGGCGAGGTACCAAACACCGCGCATGACAATGTGGCTGCACAGGATATATACACACAGATAAAAGCCTATGTATAGGCAGAGCATTAGGGTGCTGGTGTTCTCTGTGTCAGAGGTGCATGTGTCAGCATAACGGGAAGTTTGTGCTTAGGGTGCCGTCTGCATGTGTTGGGGCCTTCAAGGGTGATGTGCAGCCTGGGCCTATGCCGCGATTTTCATCTGATGTTAATGACATTTCAAGGTGATGTTGCAGTTGTAATGCAAATTGCAATAACACAAAAACTTGAGGTTAGTAATTAGTTTGAGGATTCATATTTAATTGTACATTTACATTACAGTAATGAACCGGGGTTGTCTCGTAGCTAGGTGGGTAGCACTGTGATGTCATACCTCCAGGGCAGTGGATTTGACTCCTGCTCCCATATCTTTGCATTTCCACCCTTCATTTTGCCTTTGTCTAGATTCTTACACGAACCTTGGTTTTCTCGTACAGTGCAAACGCATGTAGCTTAGAGGAATCAGTTTGCTGTGCTGTGTGTCACTGGCCGTGTGTGCCCAGCGATGGACGCCATCCTTTCCCAGGGTGTGCCCTGTGATGGACGCCATCCTTTGCCAGGGTGTGCCCTGCTTCATGCCCTCTGTTTCGCGTGACAGGCTTCAGGTTCGCCAGGATCAGTTGAATTAAAATTTATGGATTTTTTTACTTTCAGTAATTTACTTCCTGTTAAGAAACAGAGCAGAGATCTCCTATATCGAGTGTAGCCCTGAATGTTTGCATTAACCCATATTAATCACAGTGGCAGCAACACGGAAATATCATGAGGTAGGAGCAAACCAACTTATCACTTTTACTTTGGTGGTGGAGGGTTTGACTTCGGTAGGGAGTGACTCACTGCCTCAGACCTTATGTCATTTATTCAATGCTCAGAGTGCTTTTAAGTGTTTCAGTATTTTATACACACAATTATTATTCTTAAATACATCCATTAATTTATGTTCTTAAAAGGTTTTCACATCGCATGTGCTGTTGGTGTTTATCATTTACTGTGAATGGTCAATTAGTCAGACTTATGCACCATT